TTAGCTTATCTGCTAAAGAGAGGGCCCGCCAGATACTTGACATTCAAGGCCTAGGAGACAGCAAGCCATCCCAGCTAATGGAGAAAATGCTAAATCTGCTAGGGGGGGAAGATCCCCGGATTTTATTCACGGAGATTTTCCTGCGTCACTTGCCTCCCCGGGTACAGACGGCGCTGGCCAACACGCCTGTCACGGAGCCCCGTGCTTTGGCTGAGGAAGCGGATCGTTTTTTTCCTGGCTACGCAACAGCCCGGGGCAGAGACGTTAGCCGCGACGCTCAGTGGCCCACCGGCAGTCAAGAAAGCGTGGCGGAGGCCGGACACGGCTGTGGCTAGCCGGCGTGGAGACGCCGGAGAGTGCGTTTACCACGCACGTTTCGGGACAAGGGCGAAGAGATGCATCGCTCCGTGCAGCTACAAACCCCCGGGAAACGGAGGGGCCGGTGCTCAGTAGTGGCTCTGAGCATCGGCGGCACGTGCAGGCTCCTCTTCGTCAGCGACAGCGTTTCGGGGAGCTTGTTTCTGTGTGACACGGGCGCTCAACGGAGCGTAGTTCCAGCGTCGAGTGAAGACGTCGCCCGTGGGGGGCACGGACCGCGATTGACGACGGCTAACGGCAGTCCCATTCACACGTATGGCGTGAGGCCTATGTGTTTGTGCATCGGAGGACAGCGTTTCAGCTGGGATTTTGTGACAGCGGACATTTCTTTTCCCCTCCTCGGAGCGGATTTTTTGTGTGCTCATGGACTCTTAGTGGACGTTAAGAATAAGCGTTTGGTTGATGCCTTAACGTTTTCTTCCCTCGTGTGCACACTTGGCAGCGCAGCGTACGACGGGCTGTCAGGCTCGCTGTCAGGTTTCTCAGACTGTTGGCCGAGTTTCCAGACCTGTCGCTACCCACCTTCTCTGCGCTTACCACTAAGCATGGCGTGGAACACCACGTCACTACCGGGGGGCCTCCTGTCTACGCCAGGGCCCGGCGGTTGAACCCTTCTAAGCTGGCTGTAGCGAGGGCGGAGTTCGCAACCATGGAGCGCCTGGGCATTGTCCGCCGCTCCGACAGTCCTTGGGCTTCCCCCCTGCACGTCGTTCCCAAATCGAACGGCGGGTTCCGCCCGTGCGGGGATTACCGCCGACTCAACGACGCCACTACGCCTGACCGCTATCCGGTTGCCGCACATTCAGGACTTTTCGGCGCATCTGGCCGGTACGGGGGTGTTTTCCAAGGTGGACCTGGTGCGTGGATACCACCAGGTGCCCATGCACCCCCTGGACATTCCCAAGACAGCAGTGATAACGCCTTTTGGACTTTTTGAGTTCCTGCGGATGCCTTTTGGACTCAAGAATGCCGCTCAGACGTTCCAGCGCCTGATGGATTCGGTGCTGCGGGACCTGCCGTTTGTGTTTGTTTACCTCGACGACATACTCGTCGCCAGCGCTTCAGTGCAGGAGCACCTGTCCCACCTCCGAGCCCTTTTCACACGGCTCAACGAACACGGATTAATCATCAATCCTGCAAAGTGCCAGTTCGGGGTGTCGGACATCGATTTCCTGGGGCACCAAGTCACCAAGGGCGGTGCGACACCTCTGCCAGCGAAGGTGGAGGCTGTTGCGGCGTTTCCTCGCCCGCTCACAGCCCGGTCGCTCCGTGAGTTTCTGGGGATGGTGACTTTCTACCACCGTTTCATCGCCTGGGCCGCACACATCATGCGGCCGCTGTATGAAGCGTTGAAAGGCAAGACCCCCGTCCAGGAGATCGACTGGACAGCAGAGGCGGACGACACTTTTGCTGAGGTCAAGACCGCGTTGGCTCAGGCGGCTTTGCTGGCACACCCATCATCTACGGCTCCCATCTCCATCACCACGGACGCGTCAGACTACGCGGTCGGCGCAGTGTACGAGCAGTGGGTGGAGGGCGCTTGGCAGCCGCTCGCCTTTTTCAGCCGCCAGCTGACGCCTAGAGAACGCAAATACAGCGCCTTTGACCGGGAGCTCCTCTGACTTTATTTGGCCGTGCGGCACTTCCGTTTCATGCTGGAAGGCCGTGAATTTACGGCGTTTGTCGACCACAAGCCGCTCACCTTCGCCATGTCAAAAGTGGCGGAGCCTTGGTCGGCACGTCAGCAGCGGCAGCTGTCCTACATATCGGAGTTCACTACGGACATTAAGCACGTGGCTGGCAAGTCGAACCTGGTTGCTGATTGCCTCTCCAGGGTCGTCATCGGTGCCGTCCAGTTGGGCCTGGACTATACTCGCTTGGCGGCAGACCAGGTCACAGATCCCGGCGTCCAGGCCCTGAAGGTGGAGAGCGCGGGGCTGCGCTTGGAGGACGTGGTGTTCGGCGACGCGGGCATTACTCTCCTGTGTGACGTCTCTACGGGCCTGGCGCGGCCTGGCGTCCCTGCCAGCTGGAGGCGTCCTGTGTTCGAGGCTGTGCACGGCCTGTCACACCCCGGCGTTAAACCTTCGGTGCGTTTGGTAGCGGCGAAGTTCGTTTGGCAAGGACTGAAAAGGGACGTGAGGACTTGGGCCAGGGAGTGCGTGGCTTGTCAACGCGCTAAGGTGCACCGCCACACGAAGGCCCCATTGGAGTGTTTCCTGGTGCCTGAGAGGAGGTTTGATCACGTCAACATTGACCTGGTTGGTCCGTTGCCTTCCTCTCAGGTGTTTTCCTACCTCCTCACCATGGTGTACAGAACGACCCGTTGGCCGGAGGCGGTTCCGCTCGTTTCGACATCAGCCGCAGACGTTGCCCGGGCCTTCATTGCAACGTGGGTGTGTCGTTTTGGCACCCCGTCAGACATTTCCTCAGACAGGGGCTCTCAGTTCACGTCCGAGCTCTGGAACGCTGTGGCAGGCGGTTTGGGGGTTAAGCTGCACAGGACTACCGCTTACCACCCTCAGGCTAACGGCCTCTGCGAGCGCTTTCATCGCTCCATGAAGGCGGCCCTCAAGGCCGGCCTTACGGACGGTAACTGGGTCGACAAGCTGCCCTGGGTGATGCTGGGCCTGAGGACCGCACCTAAGGAAGATCTGCAGTGTTCTCCAGCGGAGATGGTCTACGGTCAGCCGCTGAGAGTTCCGGGGGATTTCCTCCCAAATGCATCGGCTCCCTGGTCGGCGTCGGCCCAGCGGGCTTTCCTGCGTGACGCCGCTGAGGCCTTTGCGCCGATCCCTACTACTCAGCACGGTACTCAGGTGTCCCAGGTTCCCGCAGAGCTCCGCTCGGCGGAGCACGTGTTCATCCGGCACGATGCGCACAGAGGCCCCCGGCAGCCCCCTTATGATGGGCCTTTCCGGGTCTTGGAGCACGGGGACAAGCACCTGGTGGTCGACCTGGGTGGCAAGGCCGAGCACGTCTCGGTGGACCGGGTGAAGGCTGCTCACCTGGACTTGGACCAGCCTGTGGTGCTGGCTCGACCTCCGCGACGGGGCCGCCCCCCGGCCTCGTCCCCTGTCACGGATTTAAGACCTGTTGTTCCGGTCCCTCCCCTTCCGGGGGCCGCACAGGCGGGAGTCACTTTTCCGACTCCCGTGCTCAGGAGTCGTGGGGGTCGGCGTGTCGTTCCTCCCCGCCATGCTGATTTTGTTTATGTGTGAATTCTGGGGGGGCTTGTGTGGTGACACGTTATTGGACATAATTCACCTTGCTTATTGTGTTGCCACACGGACCCTTTAGTGGGGAACACCTGTAGCTTTAGCTGCCATTCCTGCTAGCTCATCAGGCAGAGCAGTGCATGTGTTAACCTCTCTGAAAGTAATGGATAATAAAGATTGGAACTCCATTCTTAATACACCGCCTCCGACTCTCTTTTCACGGCACTACAACACACACATATACATCCCTTATAAAAACGGCATTCTGCAGCACTCATCCAGATAACATGTGACTGTTAACTCGTTTTGCAAAGATAGCAGCAGAAATGTCATTGCTGCATGTGCAGGGATATTAGACTTTAAAATGCTGATGGGTCATTAATGTTGGTGTCGGCAAACAATATTAGGAATCCTCTATTCAAACTACATAATATTCAGTGTCCATCGACATGAAAATAACAAAAGTTCATGCTGGACTCAAACCCGAGTCCCAACAACAGCAAAAGTCACTCCAGCCCTGCGCGTTATAAGCGCCACGGATCAACACGACGTATCGAACCACCACACTATAATATTTTAGATTAACCTTGTTAAAAAGTTCGAGAAAAATACAACCCGACCATCATTTATAATGTGAGCGAATGTATGTACACTTTAAGCCATATAATATACATATTATAAAATAGTATTCTGACTGAGGTCTGTATCAAGCCTCATTAAGACCCACCGAGATCAGATATCCTAGTTTATCAGCCTGCGAGCCCACATTATGTTGTGATAACTGTTAGTTTTACCGTCGTATCGTGTTGATTCGTGGCACACTCATAACGCGCAGGGCTGGAGTGACTTTTGCTGTTGGGACTCGGGTTTGAGTCCAGCATGAACTTTTTTGTTATTTTCATGTCGATGGACACTGAATATTATGTAGTTTGAATAAAGGATTCCTAATATTGTTTGCCGAGACCAACATTAATGACCCATCAGCATTTTAAAGTCTAATATCCCTGCACATGCAGCAATGACATTTCTGCTGCTATCTTTGCAAAACGAGTTAACAGTCACATGTTATCTGGATGAGTGCTGCAGAATGCCGTTTTTATAAGGGATGTATATGTGTGTGTCTTTCATATTAAACATGATCGCTGGTAGATAGCCACAGAAGTCGTAACACAGTTTAACCTGGGCGGATCCCATTTTCCCATGGGCGAATCACAGTTTACCTGAGAGGATCACAGTTTATCACAGCTGAAAACTTCTCCACGCTGCTTTCAAATTCTGAGTAAACAACGTACGCTTCACTGGGAGGCTGTCTGAAGGTGTACACATGTTTCAGATGGACTTGGTATCACATTAGGAACGATATTCAGTGATAAGTCGGGCAACAATAGCTGGTTTTAAGGATGTATTCGAGCGGATCACAACTTAACACAGCTGAAGGACTTCTCCACGCTGCTTTCAAACTGTGAGTAAACAACGTACGCTTCACTGGGAGGCTGTCTGAAGGTGTACACAGGTCTCAGATGGACTTGGTATCACATTAAGAACGATATTCAGTAATTAGTCTGGCAACAATAGCTGGTTTAAATGATTTATTGGAGCTCGCAATGTTTTGAACAGACATCCCCATGTCAACTCGTTTTTCTTTTTGTAGTCCTCGCTGTTCGCGTCCGGATATCGCCATCGTAACCACAACCTCACACACTGGTACTGAATGTGCATCAAAGTGTTCCTATCCAGCCAAATATACCAAAAGATTTATGTAAACGACAGAAGAAGCGATCGAAATGTGTATTTCAGTCGAAGGCCACGCCTCCACATCTGTCAACCAGTTGATCGGGGAACCAGTTAATCCGGAACACCGGCATCGCTTCATACAACAGGTCTGAGCTGTCCAACTATGACAACACTCCTTGAACATGCGCGCGCTATGTGAGAATCTGCCTTGGTACAAAGTAGCAGTGAAAATATGGTAGGCTACGGAGTTTCATTGATTTGGGCATTCTCTCAATAAGCAAGTGGAATGGATTTGATAGTGAAGAACTGACACAGCGCTCTACAAAGTGCGGCGAGTGGATAGACCGATTCACGGACTTTGCACATGGTAAAAGTGGGGGGGTCTAAACTAATCATTTCAAAACGTGGGGGGCACTTGTCCCACCCTCATATAATGACTGCGACGCCCATGCATTAAACCCTTCATCACAGTTATACAAAGCAATCACCCCAAATGGGACTCGAACCCACAATCCCTGGTTTAGGAGGCCAATGCCTTGTCCATTGGGCCAAAAATATTTGGACCAAATCTAAGAAAAAAACATGATCTATACTGTGTAGAGACATTTCCAAAATAAAAGCTACATTCGTGAACATTTTAGGAGAAACAGTATGGAATAATTCATGCCAAATATAGCAATTCTATTTATGGAATGATTCATGTCAAACATAGCAATCCTATGGGAGAACGTGTCCTCTTGCACAAGGTACATTTTACTGAAGGGTGTGAGTTCAAACCTCTGACTAGGACAAACGTATCAAACCCCTGCATCTCAGTTATACAAAGCAATCACCCCAGATGGGACTTGAACTCACACTCCCTGGCGGAGGCCACTGGGGGCAAACATATTTGCACCAAATATGAGAAAAAATGTCAATGTATAATGTGTAGAAAAATATCCAAAATAAAAACATTTGTCAGAAGTTTAGGAAAAAACAGCATGGTATATTATGTCCAAAAACGTGAAAATATTAACAACATGGTGTGTAAAACATCAGAACAATTGACATTGTATAGGTCGAACATTTCAGTGAAAAAATAGTATAGTATGTCAAAAATATCAGGAACAAAAGTATATTATGTAGAAAATATTTATACATATAACAAGTAACATAGGATTTAATCCTGAAAATATTTTAAAAAAAAGACACAATACAATAAAATATCATTAACAAATAACAGAGTATAGTATATCAAATATAAGGACATTTATAGTATTTTGAAATCGTTAGAAAATATGTATAGTATAATCTGCTGAAATTCATGTAGAATGTCAAAAATATCACATAACAAAAGAAAACACATAATAGTATCGTATATTGAAAAACTCAGATCTTGGTTTGTCACAAATCTCGGAAAATATCAAATATGTCATCAGCATAGTCTTGTTGCACGAGCATAACACTTCACTTGTTGTCCCTGCGATGTAACTGCTTTTATTCACAAAACTTCTGTTAAGCCATCTCCCTGAAATGTAACTATGTCTTGTGGTTGGATATTTATGTACAGTTTACTTTAATATCTTCTTCTCCCATTCACTTGTGACACTATGTTGGAAATGTCTCTGCACATTTTAGGGATAGACTGCATGTGTGAAAGGAACTTCATTCATGTTTTTTGGGGACAATGAATGGCAGTAATACCTTAAAAGTCACCTATTATGCAAAATCCACTTGTTCACGTCTTTTATACATAAACATGTGTCCCCTTTGTGTAAAGAGATTCTGAACGATTCGGGAAAAATTATTCACTCACTTTTTGTCCTGATCCATTTATATAAAAACCCTTGATACACTTTATGTCATAACGATTTTTTTGGCTTCTGTAACCATTAGCCAATAACCCCCCCATCTTATCACCTGAATCTCCTAGAGCACCATTGTGTTTTTTTAACCAAATATCTCTGAGGGGCGTGGGGAGTGGCTCCTTATTTTCATCTAAAGTAAAAGACAGAGAATCAGCACTTTTGAAACAGAGCTGAAACAGAGGGGTTTATGGCATGCTTCGATGCATGATCTGTTTGGTATTTCGAGCCAAACACTTCAGAGATATGTTTGTATATATCTGAGAAATATAATATATTGATGAAAAACAGTATAATATGGGACCTTTAAGATATGTCAGTCTTGACAATGTCGACGGTTGCCTCATGTATGGCTGGAATAGCAGGATTTATCAATCATATAGGAATATTCATGAATTTAAAACAGACATATTATAGATGTACATGTGACAGCTGGACATAAAGACCCAGCTGTAGACAGTGGTTCCAGTCTAATGGCTGTACAACTGAATGACTTCCTCTTCTAACCTGGAGCAGCAGGGATAAGCTCCACATGATGATTAGTATGTAATAGAGGGGGAAACCACAGTTCATGAATGCATCCTCTTAAGGTGCCACATGGAAATATTTTCTTTTCTTGTCATCATGACAATGAAACATATATTAAACATGCAGAATGCCTTCAACCTCGACTGTCATCATTTCGTACTGCTTCATATTATAGCCTGTGTAAATACTGTGTGCATACAGGGTATGGTTGTGGTTGTACTTACAGAAGTGCTCAAGGGAGCTCACAATAAACCAAGTCATTATTTCTGTAGGTAAGTCATTTATAAATAGGGTCTCATTTTGTCTTTACCTTTAGCTCTTGATATACAGTGCATTCATTTCAACTTTGAGTATGAGTGTGTGGTTATTTTAAAAGACCAATCAGTTTAAATATGAAGTTGGGTGTTATGTCACTTTCCTTTACCCTGTTAAAATGTTAGAGGAGTTTGTTATATTTAATATTACCTCTATAAATAGCAGGTTTAAACATATTCAGAATTGTTTCATTTGTATAACAGTTCAGTCTATGTTTTTCACCACTAAAAGAAGATGTCAATAGTGTTGACCCATTTTACTCGATACAAATGTGCTTTGTAGGGTAGACTGAGACCGTCCTTTTTTTACCATACATTCCTTCCTACCATCCACAAAAAGATACAAAATCCACCTGTTCCAGGCAGGGTATATCTGGGCTGTATGTTGGGCCAACAATTATGTCTTGATAACCAAGACATGCTGAGCCCCTTTCTGCTCTTCAGGGATGAAAAGAAGTCCAATTACCTTGAACTAAAATAAAATATAGGATCAGTAGCAGCGGAGGATTACATAATTATTATGATCCAATCTAAGGCAATGCTCCAGTAACAAAGCAGAGAGTAATGGAAAAATCTAAGCGCTCAATAGTTGGACTCTCCAACATTACTCATCTGGCCTATTGAATGGAGTCTTATCTCGTCATGACAACAGCATACAGAGATTGAGAGTAATTGCCATGGCAACAGGTCACCTTGGAATAGTAGCTTATCTTTCCTTAAACTTGCTTCAGGCGAGCACTGACGGGAGTTTAAAGATACGTCCTCACTGCTGCTCTGTCAGGTTCAACAAGCCTGACAGAAATCTTGTTAAAAGTTCAAAAGATTTCATGTAAAAGAATAACACTTTCACCACTTGGTGCAATCTCTTTTTTCTGTCAGTCGCCAGCTGACATGTGAACCAAACCCCAGCATATTCCTCCAGGATGCTGCAGCAGATGACTGACCTCCATATGACGAGACTGGAGAAGAGGGCTTTGATCATCGTCCAGACCATCATTTTCAAGTACTGTGCCACTTTATGATATCCTTTCCATCTCTTCAATCCAAGAAGATCCATACCCCACACAACTGTGTGTTAAATAAAAAGCTGCAGACAAAAGATCGTTAGGGTTAGCTTAGTTTAGCATAAAGACTGTAAACAAGGGGGAAACAGTTAGGCTCCCTCTGCCTAAAATTCACCTTCTAGCACATTAACAGTGTATCAAGTGTGTTTAATACAAAAGTCCCACACAAATACTTAAATCAGTTAACTGGCTGTAGCTTCAAAATTACAACACAGACATTGGAGTGGTGTTCCCATCTAAAAAGTAAATACATGTTTTTCCCAAAGCGTCGGACTGTTGCTTTAAGACTATGAGTTTTCTTAAAGTAATATGTATCTCTACAAAGTAGGTATAGACCAAAAGATAAAGGCTCCACAAAGAAGAGGCACATGTGCATGTTCATCCAAAAAGGCTCTTTAATTGGTCTAAGTGATTCATTACAGGGTGAGGGAGCTAGGTAATATAGATACTAGAATAGCTTTCATTACCTCATTCAAATCGGATCATTTAAAAGTAAGAGGGGTTGGGGAGAAGAGGGATGACAGGGGAATATAAAAGAGTGGAAATGAGAAAAAGATGAAAATCGTAATATAGGCCAACTGATACAGTGATGACAAATATTAAAGTAAATCGGCAATAACCTTACAAAAATGAAAATTGAGCTAAAATGTAATTGTTTAAAGAGTGACAATAAATTCCTATCATATGTAGAATACATGAATATGACACTAACCAGTCTCAAATAAGACTTCTCTATATTGATATATTATTTAAATGATTTATTTTTATTGTGAGGCCCTTTGCAATGTTGTGCTGTACTGCAGCCTCCTACTGAAATTCAGTGAGGAACACAAATCCATGGTTTAACACACAAAGTGTTGGTCAGTGCTTTCCCAATACTTTCATCATTTTACAGATTGTGTTCATATGGACTGCTTTCACAAAGCCACTGCTACCTGTCATTATTCCCTATATATGACGACTTGAAGAAGGGTTTAGCTCAAGTTTTTGTTTCCTTAATGTGTTATTTTGGAATTAAACTCTTCATATGTTTATCTACACAATGTTTTGCTACAGTGGCTGCTTGTTTTTGGTGGCGGTATTCATAATCACAATCCCTTATTCCCTTCACTATTTCACCCTTGTTGTAAACAGTTAATCTACTTAACAACAACCAAGACTGAATCCCAACCACCCACAATAAAATATGTACAACATACACATGGCATGAAAACTCTGGTTATAGATTAACCATGCGCCAACACCCTGGACTGTTGTAAATCTTAGTGCACATTGAAGCACAAAAAACACAAGCATTGTAGGAAAGTAGCAAGTACGTAAAACCTGCCCACCCACAGCTTTACACAACTGTCTCAAGGTTAAATTGGTACTGTGCAGTTTTCTTATCTTATTGTAGTATACATCAAAAAAGTCCTAAACATCTGTCAAATCTGCTGAGCCAAACTGCTATTCTTTACCACACAAAGTCACATAAAAAATCAACAATTACTTCAAGTTATAACTTTTCCACTTTTCATATATCTTAGCACTTCCCCCTCTCAACAGTGGCCATCTTTAAGAGTCCTGTTCTCTGATATTCCACAGTATCCATCTTCTAAGGTTATTTTGGTTTCCCATTAGACCTCAGACTCAAGACTGGAAACCCGCCGCCAGGGACGAAGTACGCAGGGGCTCCCCGAAGGCTGACCCCCTGCTCGCTGACCTGCTAGGGCCTCTGATCCAGTCTGGGATCCCTGATAGATGCCATAGGCTCCGTATAGACTGTCCTGGTACAGCAAAGCCCGCTGGCTTCCACATCTCCCACCACCACAAGCCAGCAGCTGGCACACAGGGCTGCTGGAGGCCTGGCTGTGGTGCTGCAGGTCTAGGGGGCCGTGGTAGAGCGGTAGTCCAGGGTATGAGTTCAGGTAGTGGGCATATTGTCTGCTAAGCAAGCTGGTGGCTCTGCGTACCATCCCCCGCCCTAAACCACTGCCATGTTGCACTGCCTCTCCGTATGTCGGGAGGTGGGCGGAGTGGGAGTAGCGCAGCCTCTGGCCCTTACGCCCATTAGGCCTCCTATGGTCCTCCCTTATGTGGAGGTAGGCCTGGTTCCGTGGGAGGCACAGGTTGTTTCGAAGTTGGGCAGGGTTGTAGGCTTTGCAGGTGCGGTCTGAGTAAGCATGCATGGGAACAGGTCCGGCAGGGCAGACTGTGATTGGCTGGACAGGGATGACAGGGATTCCTCCATCTGACGTATCTGCTCGCTGCCCCACGTTGCTTAAGGAATGAAGGGCGGCGGTGCCTTCGTCTACCTCTGACCACCATGTCCTCCGGGGGCCAGGAGCCGTAGTTCTCTACCCGCGGACACTTCACCTCCTCTGAGTAGATGCAGTCAACGCTGGGGGCGGAGATGTGGTTTTCTTGGAGGTGGTTGGCTTTGAGCTCACTCAGATAGACGGGGCTTATGTTGCTCTTTTCCTGGTCCCTGTATTTTCTCCCCTCTACATTCGCATCCTCACACTGGAAACTTTTAGACCTTCTTTTCCGTCTGGAGAAGCCCTCATGGACTTGCTGGTTTTGATGCAGGGAGACCGGGTGAGATGCGTAGATGTCAGGTAGTTGGAGATCATTGTAGGGGATGAAGGGTGAGTGAGGATGGGGGTCTACATAGAGTCTACCTGTGGTCTGGTAGTGGTGCGGGTGCTGATGAGGGAGTGGTTCACCCATAGCCAGATGGGGGCTACTGAGGCTGGACACAGGAAGTGGCCGGTCATACAGACATGAAGAAGAGCGAGTTGGGAGCGTGTAGCGTAGTGGCGTTGGCCTGGTCACACCCCTCTGGAGTTTCAGAGAGGTAACACCGGTCAAAGGTGGGGTTAGTGGGCAGTGATTCTCCGTAATATAGGCAAATCCTCCTGGTACAGTCTCCGTGGCGACTTGTGGAATACGAACAGGCAAGCTGCCGCCATGACGACTCAAATGCTCTATGGTCTTGGTGGCGTGGTCCAGAGACGTCTCAACATTGGCAGTGGAGACCAGGTCCTTGGCAGTGCGAAGCATCTTAAGCATGTTTTGTTGAGCGTAGTTGGAGGTTAGGTCAGGTTTGGGCCAAACCAGATGAACGCCCAGGTTCCTCCTCTACTCCCCTTGAAACAACTATAAATACCCTGAGAGACGAAACAGAATGATAAAGAAAGAAAGAGGATGGAACAAGAGGTGGAAAACAGACAAGAGAAAAAGAAGTAGAGTATAAATCCCATTATTATTTGGAATTAAAATCAATAGTTAGGCTACAAACAGTTTAACCTCGAATCACCTAACACTCCTTAGGGGACAATTCACAGAGAGAAATTTCAACCAATTTGTGCGTTTCAAAGTTACGTTCCACCTCCTAACTAATAAAAACCCCACTAGCAGTTTAATAAAAAACTGATTTCATTAATATCTCATTTCATCACTGAGGCACTTAGTCACAAATGTATTATGCATTCTCCCGGGAGTCAAAGAAAAACTGTTTAAGCTGAGGGGATTGCTTTGCTACACACACACACACACACACACACACACACACACACACACACACACACACACACACACACACACACACACACACACAACACACACACACACACACACACACACTACACACACACACACACACACACACACACACACAACACACACACCACACACACACACACACACACACCACACACACACCACACACACACACACACACACACACTACACACACACACACACACACACACACACCACACACCACACACACAACACACACACACACACACACACCACACACACACACACACACACACACACACACACACACACACACACACACGACACACACACACACACACACACACACACACACACACACACACACACACACCACACACACACACACACACACACACACCACACACACACACACACACCACACACACACACACACACACACACACACACACACACACACACCACACACACACACACACACACACACACACACACACACACACACACACACACACACACACACACACACACACCAGCTTACAGTTGGCTGGGAGATCCTGAAAGAGACACATTTAATTTGGCCCTTGGGGCCACCCCGCACGGATTAATGATCAGATAGTCATTTGGCCGTTAATCTGATAAATCCCTGATCCAGGCACAATAGTGTAATTACACAGTAAAGGAGCACAGAGGCTGGTGTCCGTAGACATTTCCCTGGCTGCATCTTCAGCCGGAGCTTTTTATGCCTCAATGGCCACAGTCCCAAACAACGGCATCAACAAACCGGGCACTGATTAAGGCTAATTGCAAATTAACATTGAGCAATTTGAGTTAAATGCTAAGAGTAAACACCAGAATTAGTGCTTCTTTTCTGTACCATTTATCTCTCCTCTCCCCTCTTATTTCTAATAACGATGCAGTGATATGTTAGCTAATATTTTAGCAAGGCCTGCTAATGATACAATGTAATGACATGCAAATACACATACATTTGCACTTATTCATCATCACATAAAATCCACTTAATGTAAACAACATATCACTGCAAACAAGCAAGCAACCACTTAACAGTAAAAAATAATCAACCAGCCAATCTTTCAATCACTCAACAGAGCTGTTACTTAACCAATCCAATTTCAGCCACAGTTTTTCACAAACTAAATAACCACTTTAGGAATCAGTAATCAGTAATTTCTCCCCATGACCAAGCACTCAAAATCAAACCAACCGGTACTCCATAAGACGACAAGCTACCCAAATGAGAAAACAAAATCTTATCAATCAAATGACTTATTTGCATATCTCACCCTACTGATGGCCAACATGTAGTCAAGTTTGCGAGACTTGCGGAGGGAGTGTCTCAGTTTCCAATAGAGCAAGTGTTCCCAGGCAAAGACCAGCATGCTGAGGCCCATGGCCACGAGCAGCATGTAGAAGACTCCCGCCATGTTGTCAATGTCCAGCTTGCTGCTCATCACTTCGTTCTTCTCGTTCTGACAGATGCCCGACAACCACACCGTCTCCAAGCGCTGCGTGTCTCCTGGAGGGAAGTAGGTTTATAAGAGTAGAGGGGGGGAGAAGAAAAAGTATATGAGATGACTGGTCAGAGTAATAAGGAGTAAGATATATGATAGCTTACAATCAAGATGAATATCGTGAAGATCATGGGTAATATTGGGTATTATTTAATATCGGGGGCTAAAATCCTTGTAGTGGCTTGAGTGGCAGCCATCTTCTTACTTGTTTTTTCTATTTTTTTTCCTGTGTTGATCCAACCCTGGTATCCCCCATGTCGACATCCAAGTCATAAGTATGACTTAGAAACACAGAAAATATCCAAAAATATGCACATGGGCCTATAAAATCAAAGCAAAATCAAGGCTTCATGTCAGCCAAAGTCAAGGAAATTAAAAGCTAATGTAATAGGGAAAACTGATGTATCGACCATGTACAGTGTGTTTTCTTTCAAACTAAATCATTCATACTACAGTATTAAATTGTCTGATGATAGGAATGCTTTTGCTTCACTACCTTCCGTGAGGTCAGGTGACAAAATTGGCGAGACTTGGGCAGATAAGACACATTCAGTTCTGCTCTTTTTCCTGCTCCATTGTCAGAACACTGCGGGACTTCAACTGTACACAAACTGCACAAAATGAGCTACAAGTCCAATAATGCAATAACCCTCAAACTAAAGCTGAAAGTCAGTACTTCAACATTATCAACCTGACTGATCCATATTCTGCCATTTGGGGAATTGTGTATAAAATGATTGCAAAAACATATATAATTTGTACTTGAAAAGGGTCTTTCTGGCTGCACACTACAATCAAGTGTAGAGGAATCCCAAACAAAGCACATTTTAAATGAGAATAATTTACAGCACTTCCTCAAGCTTTCATTGCCCCATAAGCTATTCCTCCAGCCCTCTGAACAGGTGGCCACCTCTTGAGCTGCGTTCTCCACAGCGGCCTTCAGGGAGCAAGGCCTATTTTCCCTCTCAGTCAGCATATGGTGATCATAAAGACACTTTTTCTTAAATCATCCCTGAAAGCTCGGCAAGAGTGTGTGGGGTGCTCTTAAGAGGATATTAATTCCACCCTCATGGTGAGCGTGTGTGTGTATATATAGGTAGGAAGCAAACAAGTGTGTTTGTGTGTAATGGAGATAATCGTATCTCTAACACTCCCTGCTGTTCTCCAGGATATTAACTCTTCCCTGTAAGCCCACTTCCCTGCTGACACAGCAAACACTGAACTGGACTGAAGCCAGTTCAACAGATCACATACAGAGTGTCAGCCAGAGAAGAACAACACAAACAGATAAAATACTGCAAAGTGTACAGTGCGAGAGTGTGCTCAGTCAAGGATTGTGTATTATATATTGTAAGGTATGGATCACCGTCTCCAAGGAACTGCAGCAGAGCCAGGTCAATAAGACGTTTCCAGCGGGAGTCCTTCTGCAGAGCGATGCCGTATCCTGTGGTGGCAAATACTTTCCCGCTGCCGATGGTCACCAGCTTGCAGCCCTCGTCCTTCCCGGCCATGTAGTTCAAAACGGCAGCGTCGTAGATGAAAGCGTCCAGTTTCCTGCATCACAATAAAGCGTCTTTATCTGAGAAAAGGTTTAGGTCCTAAAAAGTGTAATAGTTTCTTACACACATGTTAGACTTGTATGTCTGTCCTAAAGAAGTCTTCAGTATTAGTGGTTTTATACTCAAACCGTTCAATACAAATGGTGTATACCTATGCTCTGGGGACCATGAATGTGAGAGGTTTTACTGAGTGTACAAAATGTTTAATGCTCAATATGGTTAAAATAACTTCAAATGTTTTCAACTGGTTATAAGTGAAGATTTAATGTTTGACAGCTCTTTTTTTTATACAAAGTAAACTGCACTAGGCTTGATTTGTTTTCATCTAAAAATACACCCATCAAATCGGCCTGTTCACAAATAAATGCTACATCACAAAGGACATCAAATCTCTGTTGCGTCACCCAAATGATTATCATAATGACTTGTGATATGTGTCTCAGATCTTCCCTAGCAGGAGGGTCATTTAAAAATAGCCTCTTATCTTAATTGTGTAACAAAGTTAAAAAGTAAGTCAAACTGTACCCAGTCTTCAGGCTTTCTAGAGCTTCTTCCACCCCCTTCTGGTTGTATTTCATCATGTGCATGTGCATGTCGGGGTAGTTGCTGCGGATGTTCCTCTCTGTGCTCCCGTTCGGGACCGTCCCAAAGCGAAAAGGAGGATAATGCTCATGTGGTTTCTGGAACTGTAGGAAGACACGGGATGAGAGGAAAGGAAAGGGGGGAGAAGATATGAGAGATGAGGAGAAGGAGACACGAAAATAGAGGGAAGTAAGAGAAGAAGTTTGGTAGGGACAAGGGGGGGAGAGACAGAAGGGAGTGAGGATAAAATGAAAGGAGAGGAGAGGAGAGAGACTGAAGGGAGCGATAGCAGAATAGGGGAAGATGGGGGCAAGAAGAAGATGACACAAAAGAAGGCAGAACAAGAGGAAAAGGGGAGGAAACAGAGGAGAAGAAAGACAGAGGGTAGAATAGGGATAATTAAAGAGCCAGAGAGCAAAGAACGAAAGACCAAAAAGGATAAGAGGGGAGAAAAAGGAGAAAGAAAAGGAAAGTAGAAGAGGAGAAGTGTGAATGGGAGGGAAAAATTAGATGAGTGGAAGAAAAAGGAAAAGATAAAAGAAAGGTAATCAGAAGAGATGAGAAAATATAATGAAGGCAAGGAGAAGACGATAAATGAATAAAGGAAAGAAGAAGAGGAAGAGAGGAGGAAAGGGGAAAGAAAAATAAAATGGAGAAAATACAAATAAAAGGAAAGCAAAGAAGAAAGCAAAACACAGACGAGCAAAAACGGGACCGGAATGAAGAAATGGTTTGGAGAGGAGTAAAGAGGACGAGGAACTACTCAGTTAAATTAAATCCATTTTAGAGTCATTCCATTTTGTTTTCATGGGTGATTTAATCAGCAGTCAAACTCAATGCTGTTTGAATGGCCAGTACACCGCTCAGCTCACCTCCGTTTGATTACATCTGATCAGTACACACATCTGTTTGAATCATTTTACTGCCAACAGATGATCCAGCTCAATCTGTACCCGATTGAAGCTGCATTTCACGAGCTGACGTATTAATACAGGATGAAGCACAAATACGTCTGTTCAATTAGACTGTAAACAAGAAAGGTCTATTCATCTTGTATGCGGCGTTGACCTTTTGAGCCGTGTGAAAATGAATGGGCCAATCAAAACTGTGAGTTTGTGAGTGGGTGTGTGCATGTGAGTTATATAATCACTCTTCAGCTGCAACTCTAATGGATTTAGTTGAGATTCTATACATCTTTTTGTTTTTTGATAATTAGCTGTCCTAACAAAAGCAATTAAGTCAGATGTGAGAATAGACATTAAAGGATGAGTCCTATTTTTTCACATCTATCTTATTACAATACTCACTTCAAGATTTTAACAATGACAATATTATTGTAATTGTCCCTGCTCCTTGCGGGAAAGGGAATTCTTGCAAAAGGAAACTGCATTATCAATACATTTTTAGACAAATTATTTAAATTCTCATTTCTAAATACGTGGTTAATATCGTAAATTTAAACAAAACAAAAAACACAACTATTGGTTAGGAAAAAGAGTACGGTTTGGCTTAAAAGTATGTTTTATTCATTATTTTAGTCACAGAGGCAAATCAAAAAAGTAAACATTGACTTTTGGTTTCACACGAGGCACCAATTGAAGCCTCCAGTCCTGTGTTTTTGCATCCTTCCACCCAAAACTCCTCCTATGTTATCCGTTTGGGTCGACTGCACTTTGAATAATATTTAATTATCTTCTGTCTATTCAGATCAGGCTCTGAGTATCCTCAGGTTCCTTATGGATTGGGTCTGTTTTAAAAAATATCTATTTATGCATCTAATGATTTTCCGCAGTTCTGCTTTGTAACCGGAGGTAGTCACTGGGGGGAAGCTGGAAAGTATTAAAGGTTACACACCTTAATTTTCATCTTTTCATGCCGTCTATTGACTACATGGAACATATATAGAAAAACACATGCCTTATCCATTAAACCTGAGAAGTGAACCCAGTAAGCCCACAACCTAAACCAGCCTAATCCTCTATCGTGTAGGATCTCACAAATAAGGGGTAGTTGAGGTTGTGTTGTGCTGGGTAATTTATATTAGTCCTTTATGCTGTAGGACAAAAAGCATCTGCATAAAGTTAATATAGTCAGCTAATACAACCACAGATCACTGAGGTGGCGCTGCTGATCTCTGCCGGGGTGTTGTTTTTCACTTTCTATGAAGTATGAAATGCTTTCTTTTAAAGCTCCTCTGAGGCTCCTCTTCTAGGTTTGTGTGTGTGTGTGTGTGTGTGTGTGTGTGTGTGTGTGTGTGTGTGTGTGTGTGTGCTCACCACAAAATTAGAAAAAGTCCCTGGGTGTTGTCTTTTCCTCCCTGACTGTTTTTAAGCGCTTGACATTTCACCATCTTGTTTTAACAGGGTAAGCGAGTCGGGAGATGGAGACGGCACAGGGGGAATATTGATATACGGACCGAAAGACAGACAGGACAAGCGGAGACTCAGACACCATCTGTATTGACAGAAGGCAGTAATTGATTAGTCATTCATGCTACTGGGCTCCCCACTGATAGGAAAAGGACAGAGGCTTTCACAACAAAGTCCTTTTACCTGACTTCATCTTGAAGGCCTTCAATGAGTCTTTTGTCTTTCTTCGGTTCATGGTTTATTAGTGGATGCAGAGCGATGAACAGAGAGAAAAGGAGATGATGTAGCTGGGTTCAAACACAAAGACATGGTATCTCACAGCTCCACATGCTCTCTGTATGTCTGTGAACTTTCACTGAACCGTCGCTCCTCATAATTACTGAGGTTATTATTCTAAGTGTTTTTTATTCAGTCTCTTACCTTCTTGTCAGAAAGCCCAGACACTGTGTCGATATATTGCTCCTGGATCATGAAGGCAGCCAGGTTGGCAGTGTAGGAAGCCAGGAAGATGACAGCAAAGAAGGCCCAGACCAGGACCATGATCTTACTGGTCGTTCCTTTCGGGTTTTCAATGGGGACCGAGTTGTTAAAGACAATACCCCACAGCAGCCACACTGACTTCCCGATGGTGAACGTTGGGCCACCAGGAGCTAAGGAAACAGAGTGAGGAGGGAATCAGAGAGGCTGTATCTGCCAAAAAAAGGTCTTGAATATTGAGACATCTTTAGCCAACAATGAGAAAATAAGAGGCTCTGTAGAGGAATTTCATAAAAAGACTGTCGATGATTCATGTTTCAAATTAAAGTGGTTCCTCTTCAGATAAACTAAGCAACAAACACTTACAGTACACTATTACATTTTACACGATTGTTATAAAACGGTGTCGGAATCACTAATATTGAAACACGAAATCATGATAATGTTCGGGTTCATACTTGAACCTAACAGTATTTCTTGTACTGTCCATCTGTGTATGCATGTGTTTCCCCAAATATTGGTAACCTGTGTCAAAGTCAGATGTATCTTTCAATCCCACCATCCAACCCCCACGTCCTTGTTCTTGTTTTGTAGCATCATCACACAATTTAATTCCTACTTCCTTCTAGTGATTTTTGTCTTGATTTAGTTCGGGTAATTTCTGGTAAAAAATTGTCAATTACAGTAGATATAAATGTTAAACCAAAGCTGTTTGAGTGGCACACTACCTTTCCTTTTGACAGTGGCGAGCCGTGACTTTTATACCTAGGCCCTCTGACCCCCTTGTCCTCGAAAAAAAAGAAGAGATATTACGTCACAGCGTAGGCCTATACTTCAGCGGAATATCAAAACAGCAGCCCGGGGTGAAAAACGCATCAATGACAGCGACCCTCTACCACACAGAACAACACCATTTATATAAACACCTATCATGACAGGGCACCCACAGCCAAGTAACAATTACAAATGAATTAAGTCGGCACGGCGGCCGGCATTGAAAATGACTTAGGCCTACCTTTGATGATAAATCACTGAAACACAAAGTCCATCCTCCTGTCCTTTTGGATGAAGCACTTGCGGGTCATTCAGAATCAGCTGATCCTTTGCCACTCCAGTTTATCATTGTAACTCAATCTTGAAAATGACTCGGTTAATAATTTCGCAACGATGTCATCACTATCACTGAAGTGAGCCATCATGAACGAACTTATGCTAATTATAAATATATCGATCATAAATCTATCGTTTAGATTTATGATTCGAAAATAATAAAAAGTAGGGTAGACATGTGGATATTATCCGTCTGAACAAAACGTGCATTTATCTAACAGGTTCGTTTTCCACAGACCTTATTTCGAGCTATTTTCCAAAATCCTATGGAGAAATCCCATTGTTTTCTGTCGAGGGAATCCGAGCGCAGCTTACTTCCGGGTTTTAGGACGCGTCACTGCACCACTTGCATAGACCTCACAGCGGGCGGAACTTGTCATAAAGTCCGCGAAAATAAAGCCCGCCCATTTAGAGGGAAGATATGATTGGTCAATTGGACTGTCATTTGACATTACTCTCTCGTTGAGAGTGTGAATGTAGAGAGGGACCAACAAGCCCTCCCGTCTTCACATAACTCGCAGAGACGGCATTTAACCCTTCACATTCCAACAGAAACTGAACAGGCAGATTCGAAGGATTTATTTCTTTGGAAATATTATTTTAAATACAATTAAATCAAGTTATTTTGGTAAAACTAATAAAAAATGTAACAACAAAAACATATAAAAAAAAATATTTTAAAAAAAATGTTTTTTTTTTAATGTTTTCAAATATGATTTCTTAGAATATCTTAGGCCCTCACAGAGGGCCTAGAGGACCCTGACGGCTCGCCACTGCCTTTTGATGATTTTAGGTCACGTTTTTGCTGTTACAAAAACGTTTTTTACTGTTCACCATGGAAGTATTCATGAGCCCTTCCGAGATCTACCAAACATCGGAACAATTTCACAGTTTCAGCCTCGCTTCCATCGCTCTCTGCCACTGTTGCTCATGTGCAGCAACGGAGGGTTCCACCGCCATCAATCAGACTTCGATTAGCGCGGCGACCAATGCTAATTAAAACAAGAAAATGACCTTTCGGACCGGATACGAGGCACACTCTGTCAGTGCTGCATTCAGGGATTGATTAGCCCACTCCCCAAAATCCTGTAGGAAACTCTTAACATTGCAGGACATGCGGACGGGGCTGGATTTAGCGGCGGGCATGCATGCTTACAGTGAGTGAAGTGCTATGAAGAGGCAATTTTTTGATGTATTTTTTTCCAGGAAACAGCAGACATAAGAAAATATGCCAGATTAAGAAAAATAAATACATTCATTGAAATCTATAGGATTAACTTTACTCATGTAGTGAAACAAAAGGTTAAACACTCACTTTTGGCGCTGACCAGACTGCGGTTATAGCCGACTGGACTTAAGTATTCAAACACAAAAACTGTCACAGCCACGACGGTCAGGCACATCACAAACATCATGACCCAAACTGCTGGGCTGTAGGGCTCTGGAGGAGGGGGAGGAAGATGGGGGTGAAGAGGAAGAGGTGGAGAAGAAGAGAAAGAAAAAAACATGAAGGATTAAAGTAATTCTCTTTTGTACGTCCTGCTTCAAAACCTCGGCCTGTGATGGGGGTCACCATATGTGGTTGGAGGATAGCAAGATGAGAAAATGAGAAGACAGAATTACACTGTTCAGGATTTGGTGCTGAATTTTCTTGTTTGGGGTTTGGAAAAGGGATTTAGGTGTGTGTGCGGCAAGTAAGGGGATTTAGTTGTAGGATACAGTTATCGCCGGGATAAAAGCTTAATGGGAAGTTTCCTGAAGCGTCTGCAGAGACAGAACCCGTTTAAGTAGGCCAACCTGGGAGAAAGTGTTGAGGCAGAAGATGTCAGCAACATTGGCTGACACTTACTGTACATCATACAACAGAAAAGTTATGATGAGATTTGACTAACTATTGGGTCTAAAAGAAGCAATTGGTTTTTTTCTCACCAAGAAAAGCAGATGGGGAAACTGTGCCATTGCTGCGGGCTACCATGACACTAATGCCCGTCTCAACAAACGGCACGGAGAAGTCGATTATTTCCGAACGCTCCTCATTGATAGTGAGAGAGCCAATAGCCATGTCAGCTCGCCTGTAGAAAACCTGACAGAAGAAAGACACAGAAAGGAAATCAAACACTGTGGTAAAATAGTGAGGAATTAGTAAAAGTCAGTGGTCTAAAAACATGCTTTTCTTGTTTTTATTTTGCATCTGAATCAAACTATTTTGGTGACTGTATAATTCTGTAAAATATGCCTGAATGGGTTTATTTTATCACAACTTCCTTGTGTCCCGGAGGACAAGCTGCCAAGCTCTTCGTTGCTGAAATGAGAGCAAATTCTGAATTTCATGAGCAATCCTTTTTAGACATGGAAGCCATAGTGCAGCAATGCAGTTGTCTACAGTAAGGCATGACTCTAACAAACAGTAAGGCTGTGGCATGACTCTTATCACGACTGTCTGCTGAAATACAAAAATGTTTGTCTCATCATCCGAGCATCCAGAGAGAGAGCATGCTACATCTCAGGAGTGTTTAGATCCAAGCCTTCTTTTCCAAAAAAGCAGGAATTATGCAGAAAGAAATACGTTTTTATAAATGTAACACACACACACACACACACACACACACACACACACACACACACACACACACACACACACACACACACACACACACACACACACACACACACACACACACACACACACACACACACACACACACACACACACACACACACACACACACACACACACACACACACACACACACACACACACACACACACACACACACACACACACACACACACACACACACACACACACACAAAGCGCCTGCAGGAACAGAAACACAAGCAGCAAGGCTCTCCTGAGGAACACCTGTTAAGGGTGCTTCACTTTCAGCATCTGCGTTTGATGTGGCTCGCTGTGTGGAAGAAAAGCGTCGCTCCATATGTGCATGCAAGGCCTCACACCACTGACCAAGCCAAAACCCATCAAAGAATTTCTCCCCGCCATGCAGTGCTGTCACTCCAGACGCTGTGCATCATTACTGCCATCTCCCAACAAGGCGATCCTTATAGTGTGTACAGCGGATTTACTATCCTTTTGTACAGCTTTAAAATGCTTATATCACTTCATCTGTGTGACAATGGCTAATTTATCATCAACATTTCAATATAACATAACTAATGCTGTACGTAAAACACCTGACACTTTTTAACATGAACCTTTTCCAACATCTGACCAATTAATTTTGTATTTGAATAATGTAATTTGTGGGAAAACGCACACAAAAACGTGGATTTATTTCAGCTTTAGAGTAATGTTTTGCTTTTTTTGTGTTTTTGTATTTTGAATACATTTTCATGAATTCATGGCTACAGAAAGTTTTTTTTAAAGATATTGTAATATTTCCTTGCTATTTAAATATACATATATATATGTAGATCGATCTATACTAAGTCCTTTTCGGCCCCAGGATTCATTTGGAGTGATTCAGCTTTGAGTTTACTGCAAATATTTCGTGATAGCTAGCATGCTAAACACCACTTACCTCTAATTTAATCGTTGCATGTCATAGCCCAAAGCTACATTTATTTGGGTTGGATCTGTGGATGAACATTTTAAAGCACCTTGTAGATGAACACTAAGCGACTCAACCCAGCTGCACCAGCTGCTGCATTCAGGGATTTATCCTTCCTTAAATAGCTCAGCCCTCAGTCTTACCTCCCCAATCATGCCGTTCCAAGTACCACGGACCAGCTTGCCATGTTTTCCATTGGTGACTAAGTAGAGGTCATATGAGAACTTGATGGTGCGGGACAGTTTCTTCAGGATATCTATGCAGAAGCCCTTACAGCACAGTTTGGTGTAGGACTCCGCGTGGCCGATGTCACTGCAAGAAAGATGAGAACAAGAAGCGTCACACACAGTAAACAAACGCAGTGATAGTTTTCAACATATTCTGGTAAATAAAGTCCTGTCTGGCCTCTGAGACTATATTTAGCTTTCTAGACCTAAGCTGTTGTTTTGCCTCGTTCCAGAGAGTGGGTGCTAAATAGTTGTGTGCTCTCATTCTGACAGTGACTATTGTCTACAGCAGTGAAGTGAAGGGCAGGCAATGGCTGGTTCATTAGCTAAAATCAATATCTGTTAACAAGGTGTCGATGGAGACGGAGGACACAGAGAATAGATACATACGCACACAAACACACATAAACACAGGCAGAGGCAGTGTGACAGAGATGCATGAGTAAATGTAATGGCCTCTAATCAAAGGTCATTAAGGTGTGTAGCATGTGAGAGACACTTACTTCATCTCTGTGTCCTCGCTACTTAATGGGGTGTAGAAGAAGAGAGCAGAAAGACAGAAAATGGTGAAGAAATAATCAAATAAAAAATGACAAGACATTAAAACAGAGGACGATGAAAGTTAAAAGCATACAGATTGAATAGGACATTGACAACACTCCAAAGTATCAAAGTGGAGGCCTAAAATGTACAAGGGCTATTCAGTCCTTGTAAGTTATTCAACTTAGTGCGTGTGTGTGTGTGTGTGTGTGTGTGTGTGTGTGTGTGTGTGTGTGTGTGTGTGTGTGTGTGTGTGTGTGTGTGTGTGCGCAAGATAACCTCAGCATGTCAATTAGTTACCACAGGAGCCAAAGAGCATTTAAAAAGATCATTAAAAAATCATGTGAATGAATAAATGTGGGATACACTGAATGATAAAGAGTCAAACAAGTAATTAACATTCAAGTTGATTATTCTCAACAGCGTAAGAGTTAATTTTAGAGAAATTTGAAGTGTTTTTGAAAGGCTCGCTTCTTTCACAGGAGTCAATAGCTCAGATAAACACTGCGTTAATTAATTGCTGCAGGAGCTGGCCACCTGTCGTCATTATACACACAAATCACACACACACATACAGACTTCTATTGGTGTCTCCCTGGCATACAGACACACGCACACATGTGGTACAGTATCCGTGGAGGATTAGCAGCAGTTGTGTTGTGTTCTTCATAAAATGCCTGGAAAAAGTAGTGCAACGTGGAGGGAAGTGCCATGAGGGAGTCAGACCGGAGAGAGGAGGAATCTCAGGCGAGCAGTAGACAGGAAACACATGGCGAACAACCAGACACTGCCTGACAGGACAGGGTTCAGTTTGGAGGGAAAGGGCGGAGAGAGCAAAGGAACCAAGATGGAGGAGGACGAGGAGAAGGAGGAAATAATTGTAATCACCACCAATGTGATAATGTAAGAATGGTGAGGGGGAAATACAGTAAACAGTAATAGGGACATTGTCATGTTAAATTCCTGTTTCAAAAATATTCAAGCAAACTATTGTTAAAACACGACGGTGGCAATTAAAAAAAGAAGAGCCCCCATCTAAAAGAACACAAATAAATCCAGTTTAATCAAACAAATTACTCCCAATGCCAAGAGCCAGTACAGGAAGTTATGAATCTCCATTTTTGTTTGGGTTTTACTGTTTTAGTTCCTTAAACTGTTAGCATGGATTACTTGCCATAACTTAGATCTTTCTTCAACCTTATTTGTAGTTTATCAAGATCAGCATAGTTCATAAAAAATGAACTGTTATCCAGGGTTTTGTAAAATCCTCGAGCTCATTCGATTTGGCAATAGGATTTAAAACAAGTTAAACAACTTTTGGTAATATAATGTGTCTAGTTCAAAATGATTTAAAATAAAGAAAATAGTTTCAGAAACTTGTTAGAATGACTTCAAAGAACATTAATTGTCTGATGAATTAGACCCTAGTGGACCAAAACAGCAGTCACTTTGCTGAAGCAGGGTCAGACAGTCTGCCTGGCTCAGTCCTGGTTCTGGTTCTCCCGTGCCTCCCTTTCCTAAAGTGAGTGGGAAGCCACACAGCAAAGCTCTGCTCCTAAACATACTATATCATTTGTTTTTTTAAGTAGAGTAAGGCATTTTAGGGTAGAATTCCTGCTCCCTAATCAGCACAGAGGTAGGCGCAGCTTTCTGGCGAATGAGGCCATCATCTGTCCAAAGAAAAGGATTTTTTAATGAGCAAGACAACATTTTTTTCTAATTTCGCAAAACATCTGCTCTGCAGGGAAGCTGCTCAGGCCACACAGCAAGTTTAACTGATTAATATAGCAGCCAGTCCTCTCTGCCTCTCTTCTTCTCCCTGTTTGTTGGTCAACTTCCAAATAGGACATGCCAGCCTTAGAGAAATGGTGAAAGAGAAACAGAAAGAGGGAAGGATGGGATAACATTGTCCCATGCTATGACAGATGTCCCCATGTTGAACAAATAAATCTTCTTTACTGGCAATCAATGTGCCATCGCGCCCAACAACAGCCGCTATATCTCTCTCCATAATTAATGTGCCAGCCATGGTCAGCTCTGCAATCTGCATAACTGACACACACACACACACACACACACACACACACACACACACACACACACACACACACACACACACACACACACACACACACACACACACACACACACACACACACACACACACACACACACACACACACACACACACACACACACACACACACACACACACACGCAATAAATGGCAAATTAACATGGCATTTACAGGCTATTGTTTGTTTTCTCTTGTGCGATAAAAAATTAGATAAAATTAGACATTAAATATATAATTGTTCCATACAAGTTATAGTGGTCCACATCATGTGACTTGCTGGATAAAATGTTCCAACATAGTCCATAACATACTCCATCAACATTACATTTAAATAGGTATTTGTCATTTTGATTAATACATTTGATTGACTTTCTTTCAATCTAAGATGAGAAGTTTCACATATTTGTGTTTTATATGAAGATGCAGCCAGCAGCTTGTTAGCTTAGCACGAAGAGCATAACCCTAACCCTAGTAGCTAGCCTGGCTTTGTCTAAAGGTTAAAGAAAATCTTTCAACTAGGACTTATTTGGTTACGAGGCAAATTGTTTGTACCTTTGGACAGAAACACGCTAGTTGTGTTCTGATTTGTGTTTCATGATAAGTTAAGCTAACTGTCCAATAATATGGCTTTATATTTAACAGAGAGTTAAGACAGCAGTATGAAATTTGAGACATAAATCAATGTTTTTTTGACACGTATTTTGTGCTTAAAATATTTATAAATGTGATTCAAGGAACTTAAGATGCAGGAATGTTCCATGTGCGGCTGGATGTATTTTGTTTTGCATGCGTTTGACAATGTGCCACAAAGCCAAATGTTATCTTCTTTTTTTGGTATTATCATACTTCGCAAATTGTTATGGTTCTGCACTTTGGTAAGCTCTATGTGGCAAGCAAACAGCACAGCATCAGAAATACATAACAATCAATAACAAGCACAAATAATTCCTCCAGTGAGATTTAAAGTTGGAAATAACACAACTCTTGAGTGCACAGCGGAGATATACAGTAGGTCAAGGTTGGGTTGAGCCCTTAAATAAATTACTAAATCAGGGCACTGAGGTGTGGTGGTTCTGGCATTAAAAGGTGCAGAACTGGCAGCAAATTGCGTGTTTTCTCTGTTTTATTGTTATTCCCAAATATCTTGGTATGCTGGACAGTATGCTCTGCTGCTTCAGAGGATCTATTAATCATTTGTGAATGTGGGATCTTTTTTTCTGGTGTGCTGTTGTCCCAACATCGGCAAGCCAAATGTACTAGTCCCAAGCAGCCACAGAAAATGGAAAGTCAATTAGTCATTAGTTAATATTTTATTCTGGTTTCCTTGAAGTCCATAATGAAAACTGTTGGTTGGTGAAGCAGATCTCATCTTTTCATTTGCACAAGTTATTGTCCAATGAAAACGCAACATGAAAGCCTTTAGAAACCTAATCTAGATGTCGTAAATATGCACGCATATCATAGAGAACACCATAAAAAGGCTAATCAAGTATTAGCATTTCCTTTCACGCGGACTAACAAAGAAAATCACTTTGAAATAAATACATAGAAATAATTCATTAATGCTATCTTGGAGGATTCAAGCAGAAACACAACAATGTGTCTGTGATCAGAGACATATGTGCCATCTCTGATTCATTATTCCAACACAGCAGGTTTTAGGCACACTTTGTCTCAGATATCATTTGCAAAGAACTGATTTTCAAATGCAAATGGAGACAGCAAATTCTAAGGTGTTACTGGCCATCTTGTTAAATAATATTACATTCATACGTGTAACGACCACCGATCGGAAACAAGGAGACACTTCATATATCATGCCGAAGAGAATTTCCAGAGAAAGACACTAAGTCGACCTTGAGTAAATCAGGAACAAGTCAAACATGACTTAATGATACTTTGACATCCCATTCGTCATCTTTGAGGATAGACACGATTGATTTTAGGATTTCCCAAAGTAAAAATATGTTGTTTTGTAGGGGTTATCCAGTTGTCAATGTGAAAACAATAAAGTTGACAATAGTTTTACGACGCAATTATATTTATGACAGTCTTGAACTTTTATTGTTTGAACATAATGAAGACATTGTGCATTCCTGAAGAGCACCAGTTGTACGTAGTTATAGGTAATAGCTGTTTAATGGCTGTCTTCTGCCATGCTGCGCTCAGTGTTTGACACCAGAGGTGTGTTTTTAAGGTGCTTAGACACTCAACACACACAATTACTCTGTGCTTAATGAAGTGTGGAGGTTCGCAGTGTCGACTGAACTAAACTGGGGCAGAGAAACAGAGCGGGAGGGTGCAGGTGTCTGTGTTTATGACTGCGTATCATTTGAAATGTTTCAGTACTCGTGAAGACATTATACATTTTGAAATCCATTTCTTTAAAGTATTTTTTATGTAGGCACTCAAAATGTGGCTAAACAAAGATAGCATATTGGCAACTTTATCATCAAAAGTGTCATTAT